CCGCCATCTTGAGACCTGCAGCTGTGGGATGCTGTGGGTAGCATCGAGAAGCAGACAACCATGCTCTCATTCACCAACGGACAGACATGCCCCCGCGGCTCAGTACTAGCACCACTCGTGTTCGCACAGACACAGACAATAGCATCCAGGATCCACAGCAGAAAAGCTATCAAATGCTCAAGGAGAAGCAGTCTTTGCCCTGCAAATGGCTCCGCTACGACAGTGCGGCTTCGGAGAGCTACTGTCGTGTACAAGCACGGAAGCCACTGCAAAAACACAAACACTCACATTGCTGCCCAGCGTCCCTTGGGAGGGATATCGCAAACAGATGCCTTGATGTTGTTTGGGATCCACTCCTCGGCAGCAAGTGATTCGGGCGTGCGCCCAAACACGCGGCCGCAGTACTGATACGTCCATGCTGCCTAGCCATGGAAGTGTTCGTTGGAACAGTGACGAAAGGCGCTGCACTGCCTATTGGCACCGGAGATAGTCGCTTCAAAAAGAAAGGCGTGCAGAATTGCAGAACATTTTGCCAGAAGAAGTCTGACAAGACCCGAACCCTATATGCATTATGCAGACACAGATGAATCACGCTTGAATAAAGCAGGGACAGGCAAGGCTCCACAAAGTAGGAGGAGTTCTTGTTTTGGACGTTGAGCATCTGCTCATCCACCTGCCGGTTATGTGCAAGAGCGTGCAAAACAAATTGAATCCACACTGGCAGCACAACCTCTATCGTGCCTCCTTTGTGGACATGCGGCCACGGAAGAGCGCTGCCGCGGTGAGGTAGCGGCCGTGGCGGGGGTCCGCAGCGCACATCCTGGGGCATCCGACGGCTGGTGAGCTGAGCTCAGCAGAGTGGTCTACCGACTCTACCGGATTCGCCAACAACATCTCTCACGCGGCGATCTACCGCTGGTCGCCGAGGGGCATGTTCTTGGCGTCGAACATCTGCTGGGTCAGCTCAGGGACCTCATGTTGTTCCAAAACAGTTCAGTCGACGGCGGCACTGAAGACCGAATCTGCAAGCTGGGTCAGGGACGGTCAGGGCGCGGTACTGCTGCGACCCGCGGGAGGTCAGCGGGGCGAAGCCCGTCATGAAGAAGTGCAAACCTGGCGATTGTCCGAGAAGTCTTTTTGGCCGAGTTGTCTTCGGAGCTGAACTACACAAAGCCCAAACCGACATCGTCAGCACATCTGCATTCTAGGCCACGCGGGAAAGGCACCAAGTTGACTGCGATCTTGCGCAGGTCACAGTTCAGCCTTACAGCCCCGTGACGTGGAGCAGCGCGGGTTTTCTAGCACTCTGCAGTAATCAGCAAACACGGCTACCGCTGCAAAGCCCAGCCGCTGTCCCGGGAAGCGCAAGCAGCAGGTCACGCCGCTCATGGCCGCAGAGACCAAATGGTTCAGGTCGCCATAAGTTGGCGTCGTCAGCTTCCTTGGCAGCCAGTTCGGAGGTTTTCTTTCGGGCCACCCGGCCGATTATGCCCACTACTGTTCCGTCCCCTGCAAGTCTTCAACTTTCGATACACCCATTCCGAGACAGGCGGTCTGACATGCGCACAGCTGGAAAATCCAAACAAGGAAGCCGATGTCGAGTGTGGAATCTGTTTCGCTCCGACAGTGTTAGGCTCACCAGTTGTCCAATCAGGACGAAGCGGAGATTCTGTAGTTCTCGCACACGTCATGTGGCCACGCGGCACTCACCCCACGAGTCCTACTTCCCGCGTGCACCCCGACGGCAACTGGAAGTTCGGTTCGCTCCGGTGCTTGGATTTTCCCTGCCACCTTCACGCCACGGCACAGGGTTCGGAAGCAGATGTCGTAGAGCGCTTCATTATCCTTGGCAGCGCTAGAACTTGGATGCGCAAAACAATTATGAAATTAACCCGAATATTGATGAGGTCTCACTGTCCAAGAACGATTTTGGAACGTCTTATCGGTGCTGTGCGGCCTTTGCCAGAAGAGATGCAGTGGCTAGTCTTGACTAGTCGACTAGTTGCGTACATTGCCAAGTGGCCAGCAGGAAGGACTCGTCGGAGTTCTCCACCAGCTGGTGAAAGCTGAGGACTGCATTGTACGGCTCCACCACGGTGTCGGAGACCTTGGGCGACGGGATCACCGAGAAGGTCTCCATGATGCGGTCCGGGTACCTTGGTTTTCTAATCATTTCAACTCTCTGGTGCCCCATTTCAACTCTCTGGTGCCACTGCATTGAACCCAACCTTTGCAAATTTCAACACGCTGGAAGTTGGATGCGTTCGACCTAACAGCTCAGCCACGATGTCCTTGCATAGTTGACGTCACCAGTATCACAAACGACCTTCTGACCGTAAGCTGTGATAAGATGTGCAATCCAGGGTGCTCCTCTCGCACCTGAAAGGAGAGGTCAAACACGAGTCTCTCTGGACACTTCCGAAGACGCCTGGCCTACCTCTCTTTGTCGATGCCTATTGCACAGCTCCCACAGCTCCCACCTTGGAGATGAGCAGAGTTCCCATGCCGGCACCGGTCCCGCCACCGAGCGAGTGGCAGAGCTGGAAGCCCTGGAGGCAGTCGCAGCCTGCGTGGAGCGACCATTGACCCTCGCGTGTTCGTATGCAATCGACATCTGGTGTCCAGGACTTGGCTGGAGGTGTCTTCGCAAGAACAAAGAACAGGGCTCCGTGATTGGTTAGTAAACACCTGGGAAAGCCCTGAACTCTGCAAGCCCTTGTACGACCGAAAGATTAAGCATGTTAATCGAGTACAGCCGCCAAAATCCCTCCCGTGAGTACGGTGAAGTACAGAAGGTGCGAAGTACCGACACTTGTACTCCAAAAGACTCCACCCCTCCCCTCCGCACCCCCCCGAAGAAACCCGGAAAAACACAAGAAACCCTCAAATCTGCAAAATCCTCGGGATCATAACTAAGCCTCCAGTGACCCGGCTGACTAGACTAGACTGCTCGTGAAATAAGCTGCTCGATCGATGCTGCAAAAAAACTACAGCACCATGCAGAGCGGCTGTCAGCAGGTGCTCAGCAATTCATGGTTATCTCAGGGCCCCCCTGGCATTGCCTTCAGCCTCCTTGCGCACGACGTCGAGCACCGAGTCAATGAGCTCTGCGCCCTCAGATCTTCTGAACAGTTCCGGCGGGGGATGAAGCGAACGCCAAGCAAACATCCGTTGTGCTCTCGTGCCGGTGAGGCTGCCGAGTCAGAATGGTCTACAAATATTGCCGCCAACTGAGCAGTCGGCCTCAGTGTAGTGACCTCAGAGAATCTAGACAACAGTGTGCGCATGCCATGTGTGCATCTCCTAACATACGTGGCTCCGAGACGATACAGGGCCGCCATTGCTAGCAGCACTCGCGTGACCGAGCACTGAGCACCATACCCTTGGCCCAGTTGTTGCCGGCTCCTTCAAAACTGGCAACTGCCGTCATATCATTCACCACAGGTTGGCGGAGTGCTTTGTCCTGTCTGTCCGAAGACGAAGTTGTCGGGACGGAAGAGCTGACCAAAAGGCCCGGCTCGGACGGAGTCCATGGTTCCTCGCTCGTATGCGGCTGCTCATGCATGCTTTCATGTGCACTGCCGACACAGTTCTGGCACAAAGGATGTGTAATGCAGCCTGAAGACCGGCATCGTTGAACCCTCAACTGCGAAACTACCTTCCACGCATGCATGGGCCTGGCTCAAGATCCATCAGGATTGCACGCGGAACGTAGCGTCCCCCTGTCGCCTCGTTGAAGTACACCTGGGCTGTCCCCGGATCAAGGATCACCATCCGATGGGCGATACGAGGCGTACTCGAGAAAAACATGTGCACAATCGTGCAGCGCAGACGCGTTGATGCGCTCCAGCTGGAGGTCGGAATCGCCATGATAGGTTCCTGCACTCTCAATGGCGCATACTCGGACTCTTCACGTCCCGAACCTCGCTAAACCTCCACACTTATGTGACTGCGAAGGATCTTCGGCGACTTCGGCTTTGCAGCACGCTCCACAAAGGCTCCAAACTCATCAGAGCTCTTGCCAGTGTGCTTGTTGCTGTTCCGCGCCTGTGGGATCGATTCCGTGCTCGTCGGCGATCACCTGCAGGCACACGCAAGCTGGAAATGAGTGGAATCGCTGGGCAGGAAGAGGCGGCGCAGATTCTGCTAGTTGTGGGACCAAGATGCAGTCAATGCAGGATTCCGGGTCAAAAAACTAGCACGCTGCAACATCCTGCAACCTTCATGCCCCAACCGAAGGCAGGCTCTTGAAGTTGTCGGGTTGAAGGTGATTGCTTAGCCAGTACGCCCTCAGGCCAACAGAACACGTCTCGCAGGGGGTGTGAGGACTCGTACTCGTACGCGCCCAGCACTTTCACCCGACACTTGCGAAGATTCACATAGATTCACTCGATTCTGACACAAGACCTGGGTAAAAGATAAGCTTATCGGAGCTGTTGGGTGGGTGGCTCTGCAACACCGCGGTACACCGCGGTCTCAGCGTGCCTCCCAGAACTTGGCACCAATCTGGTTGCCGCCTGCAAATGTGCAAGGTCTTGCTTCCGAACAGGCCGGAAACCTCTACGAGTCCTGGACTCTCAACCCCCAAGGAGGCACCAAAGCAACAAGCTGCCGCAAAACTGAACGTGCTAATTACTTCTTGAGCCAACATGTGGAGTTTCAAAAGGCGTCGTCAGCACCACCAGTCAAGAAACCTTACGATTCTTGAGCTTCTAGCACATGAGTGGTGCCCGTTCCAGTGGCCATTGCCGAGCCCATCCGAGCCCTGCAAGAAGAGCTGCGAATTGCGCCGAGGCACACTGACCACCCTGGACGTGCACAAGCTCGCGCATGGCTGCTAAACGAAACGAAAGGGACGAAGAGGTCGCTTGAGAATGCTCGGAGGCACTGCGCGAAAAGCACAAAAGATTCCCATGTTCCTCCGATTGTCGGTATGCCATGCGTGCGGCAACTCGTCTCGGCGATTCGGCAGGCTTGTCAAGGTTGACGAGGCCAGCCGCGCATGTCTCAGATCATGGCTAGACACCTTTGACATGTGCCATGTGCTTGAACTTGCTATTCAGAAAGATGCAAAGTCCTTTATCACCCTGGCCCCGCAAACTGCGAAACTTGCTGCGACTTCATGCTCGACATACCTTCAGGATATTCCTGAATGCTTGTCGGTCATGAATTCCCCGGCTGCGTCCTCTGGTGTCACCGGACGCCGTCAAGGCGGTCTGAACAGTCTGTTGGAACGAGCACAGTTGTTTATCCGTCATACTCGCCCTCCTCCTCGTCAAACTCACCTGCAAGCAAGCCAGGGACACTTCGCCTCCGTTGTCTTGCGAACGACACAGACCGGCACAAGTCACTAATCACACCCATGAGTGTGTGAGCATGGCAAGGTGAGTGCCGTCTGATGGGAAGAGACAGGAATCCAGCATCAGCCGATCATCACCCACAGACCCAAGCTTCAGGGACCTTGAGCTTCTTCGAACTATTGAATCTCAAAGATGCCAAAGGCCCGAGCCCTACGCAGCGATGAAGCCCTGCATGCTCGGAATCCATGTTAATGAGTTCAACTCACTCTCCCGCCTTCCTCCTCGGCAGTGGCATCCTGACAAGGCAAAATCGAAAACACGGATGGGCTCGGGTGCTAAGTCGGCGGGTACTTGCGTGTCGGCTTTTGCTCTTGGCACGAAATCACGTGCGGAGGGCCCAGACCGAGTGAAATCAACATGACCCTGCACTGCCCCCTCGTCACACACCAAGTAAGCAGCTTCTAAATCAGACGTCTTCCGGTGTGCCGGGCCCAGGACTCAGGATCTCAACGCCGGTCGGGTGCTTTGGTCTGGTATGACTAACCGCGCCTGGTACTGCTGATACTCGGAC